CTCCAGTCCTCCCTGCCCATAGTAACAACCCTATTTCTGGCTGAGCACATTCCTGTCCAGCTCAAAGATACATTACCTACCCTCTCCTGCAGCCAGCAAGGTCATGTGACCAAGTCCTCGCTAATACTGAATTACATCAACTTCCTTAGGAGCGAACAGCCACTTCTCTGTCCCTTCCTCCATCCTGTGGCCTGCACATTAGCCAGCAGCCACCCTGGACCCAGAAACCAAGGGCCACACCCCTGGTGATGACAGAGGACGAAACTGGAAGGGGGCTGAGTCCCCAATGACAGTGGAGCCACCATACCAGCCCTGAACTATTGCAGGTCTTCTTTCACATGAGAAACAAACAGGCTTACGCTATTGTTTTTCAAGTCTCTTGTTATTCAGAGGCAAACCTAAGTGTAACTGACACAGGGGGCTTTGAAAGTATGCTAAGAAAAAGGCCAAGGTTGCAAGAGACATTTTGGAGGGAACATTGTCAAGATTCAGTGAAAGTCTCAATGTAAAAAAAGAAATTTATCAGTCATATGCCACACAAAAGATTTTCTTAACATCTTCCCAATGTCCACATCGGTGGGCTACAGCCATTTTCGGTGTCTGCATTTTTTAATTGAAATAAGATTGACATGTAACAACGTATTATTGATAGTTTCGGGTGTGCAGCATAATGATTCATTATATGCAGACCCTGTAAAATGATCACCAGTAAGTCCAGTTAACATCCATCAACACTCAGGTACATTTTTCTCTTGTGATGGGAACTTTTAAGATCTAGTCTCTCAGCAACTTCCAAATATGCAGTACAGTGTCATTAACTGCAATTACCACACCGTACATCACATCCTGAGGACTAAATTATGAACAGAAGTTGGAGCCTTTTGACCACTTTCACCCATTTTGTCCATCCACCCCTCCACCTACCTGGTACCTGCATTTCTAAAGAATGTGATAAAAACTAAAGACATCAAAAAGTACTAGCTAAACCTCCAAAAAGGGATTAAAAAAACCTTTTAGTAAATACAACCTATTTGTAAAGTTGTTCTCCACACTACTAGTTTATTTTATTTAAAAATAAGTAACATGAGAATAACTTAAAAACTGGTTACAAGAAGTTCATAAGTAGAAGTTCAGAGCATAAGCTCAGCTGAGAACCTTACTAGAGAAAATAAATATCCGGTCCTGCCTTCAAGCTGAACGATTCCCATCACACACTTACTGATAAGCGGGGCTAAAACACACGGCCCCAAGACAGGCAGGACCTCCAGAGATAAGCCGGAAGGCTGCGCCCCCTCAAGAAGCACGATATCAAACTACAGGACTTCCAGAAATCCTTTCCACCTCCAAGACTCAGAGTCCCCTCCCAGGCCTGGGAAGGGCAGAGCGGTAACTGCCATCCTGCCCCTGTGCTTTCAGGCCCGCCGGGCTCAACCATGCCCAGCTGAGTCCCAGAAAGAAAATTCTAGAAGGGGCTTCAAACACAAGTCTCACAGGACCTCCTCTTCCTGAAAGTGTTCCCTCACTTGAAGCCCTGTCCTGTAGAGTTGAGGGCGCCTCCATCACACATCAGGACAAAATGCCCCGCCCTCCCCTCTGGGCAGGAACCATCACCACCCTGAGATCTAGGACTTTGAGTGGCAGCTAAGATTATACACACTCCGATTACAAGTATAAAAACATGAATATTAAAAAGAGACCAAAAATACAGAAAAACTTCACACGCTGTTACATTGCATTTATACTTAATCGCTTTTCAAGGCCTCATTTTACCAAAGCCTATACTCTGCGTCCCAGGTTTTCCTATATGTCTGTTTATTGTCACTAAAAAGGAAATTGAACAGTCCTCTTCAGCACTAACCACTCCCAGTACCTACAAAGTGAAAGACCACACATTGCACTTATAGCAGCAAAAGAAATCACCTATTTTCTTAAGACTCGGCAAATTATCCCAAAACCCACTGTTAGGCAGAATGATAGCCCCCAAAGACAGCCACATCCTCATCCATGGAACCTGTGATTCTGTTATCTTAAATGGTAGAAGGGACTTTGCAGTTATAATTAAGGACCTTGCAATGGGGGAAATTATCCTGAATTATCCAGGTGGGCCTGACCTAATCCCTGAGGTCCTTAGAGTGGAAACCTTTCCCAGCTGTGGTCAGAAACTGACTTGAGAAGAATGGTCAGGAGACCAAGGTTGCCAACTTTGAAGATGGAGAAGAGGGCACAAGCCAAGGAATGTGGCAGCTTCTAGAAACTGGAAGAGGCAAGGAAACAGATGCTCTTTGGAAACCTCCAGAAAGGAACAGGGCCGGGCCGACTCACTGACTCTAGCCCAGTGAGACCCATCGCAGACTTCTGAAACACAGGGCTTTAAAGGAGTCTGTTGTTTCGAACCACCGAACTTGTGGTCATTGTTACAGTAGTCATAGAAAACTAACACACACGTACTAAACAACTTGTAACCATATATATAATTATCTAGAGAAAAACATAATCAAATTGCCTAAATAGTTAGAGCAGTATGAGACATAACAGTTATTTGTACATGCCGCAGTATATTTCACTTCTACTTTCTCTGCCCTCACAAAACTCCATCCATTAAAAGCCAAAATGACAATTCTTCACAACTGTAGAAGATGAACCATATCAACCAAGAAAACAAGACAGTGTGATCCACTGGGAAAATCAGGAAAACAATCATACTTTTCAGGGGAGCAAACAACTAGGTCTTCGCACTGCTTATTCCCCTTGTATCAACTGGATACCACATTTTTAAAATAAGTCCTATTCCCAGCCAGATAGCTCAGCTGGTTGGAGGTTTGATCCCAGGTCTGGCATATACAAGAATCAACTCCCACCTGGCTGGTGAGGCTCAATGGGTTGAGTGCTGGCCTGTGAACCAAATGTCACTGGTTGGATTCCCAGTCAGGGCACATGCCTGGGTTGTGGGCCAGGTCCCCAGTTAGGGGCACGCAAAAGGCAACCACACACTGATGTTTCTCTCCCTCTCTTGTTCCCACCCTTCCCTTCTCTCGAAAAATTAATAAAATCTTTTTAAAAAAGAATCAACCAGTGAATGCATATGTACAATAACAAATCAATGTTCCTCTTTCTTCATTCCAAGCAATTTTAAAATTTAAAAATAAGCCCTAGATATTGAAGATAATAAGAGCTTACTAATTTTAGGTGTGATAATGTTTCCATGTGTCTATTATTCAATAGTTATTCAGTCTTCTACAGATATACAGTATACTCAAATATTTACAAATGAAATGGTATGCCTATCACCTGTTTAAATACACTTGGGAGTAGGGATATGAATGGATAGAGGTAGAGAAAAAAACTAAATTAGCCTGAGTACTAATTGTTGAAGCTGAGGAACGGTACATGGGGTATATATTATTCCACTGTTTGCACTTTTCTGTATTTAAATGGGACAAGAACAAAGTCTTTAACCTATCATAATAATAGACTTCTTCATATGTTTAATAGTTAAATGTCCTTCCTGTAACACTGCCCCACCTCAATTCTCTGCTGCTTAATCCACCTGCAGCTGAGAGTTTCCTCAATCATTTTTAATCCCCACCTCATTCTTCCCTATTTACTTACTAACCTTGAGTTTCAGCAAGTCACCTAACCCCTAAAAAACGGGTTCTTCATCTGCAGAATGGAAATATTTATACTTGCCCAGTCTATCTCTGAGTTGACAAAAGGATTTCATAAAATAAATAACTACAAAGCAGAATAATCCCTCGAGAAAGCTATATAGTCACAAACTTCATACTGGGCAGCAACCATTTCACCTATTCCTATAGAATCTTTTCCCTTCCACCTCCAGTTCCTCTCCTGAGCCCCAATGTGCAGTAACCTCTGTAAGGTTACACTGATCTGCAAGGCTACAGGCCTCCACCCCTTGTGTCTTCATAGCTTTTCGGCACAGGACCTTGTTCCACACACCTCTGCTTCCAACCTCCCTTCTCCCCTTTCAAGGCTCCCACTCCAACTGCCCCGCCCCCCTCAGCCTGTCTACCCTTTCCAGCACCTGCAGCCTGTCAGCTTCATCACCCCACTACCCTCACTCCCCACTGCTGCCCCCAGGCCACACACACTAGAGCTAACTTCTCACTCTCCTGTGGTTAAAACGAAACTGCTGGGTGTCAGAGAGCGGGGAAAGGGAGCGAGAGAGGAGTGACTGCCCATTGGCTATGGGGTTTTTTGGGGGGTGATAAAAATGTTGTGGAGTTAGTTGCACAACCCTGTCAATACGCTAAAATGCCACTGAGTTATACTTCAGTTATCCTTTCAAAAGTGAAATTTATGAAGCCCTAGCTGGTGTAGCTCAGTGGATTGAACGAGGGCCTCCAAACCAAAGGATTGAGGTTCAATTCCCAGTCAGGGCACATGCCTGGGTTGCAGGCCAGTTCCCAGTAGGGGACGCACAGAGGCAACCATACATTGATATTTTTCTCCCTCTCTCCTTCCCTTCTCCTCTAAAGATAAATAAAATCTTTTTTCAAGTTTTTTTTAAAAAGTGAAATTTATGGAACGTGAATTACATCTCAATAAAAACGTACTTGCCCAAAAAAGAAAACACAAACACTACTGCCCGCCCTGCCCATCACACGCCCATTTGTCAGACCAACAGCGCCCTACCTCCCTAATGATCAACTTGCTCTCAGGCATCTACCCCCCCACCCCACCCCCAGCCCAGCTCCGGACTCCGACAGAGGCCCCCCTGGCTCTCTCCGGTAGCACGCCCCCTCGCCCCTGGGCTCCGAGTGCCACTGTGTCCTGAGGGGAGGGACGGGAGTGGGGCAGCTCAGGCGGCTCAGGCACAGCCTCTCCAGGCTGGCCCCGTCCCCGATTGGCAGGAAGGAACCCTTCCCCGCCTCCGTGGCAGCGCTGCCCCTCAGCTCCCGGCGCCGACGGGGGAGGGGAAGTGAGGGCGTCCCCGAATCCGCTGACGAGGAGCTGGGGGCCCGGCGGATCTCCCAGCCCACCTGTCCCTGCCGGCGGGGAGACCGCTTCCAGCTCACGGACAAGCAGGTAGCAGAGGAGGAACAGGAGAAGCCACGATCGCCCCCAGCTCAGGCCTCCACGTTTCATGCGTCTGCGGCTCCGGCTCCAACTACGCGCCAACCCTGCTCCCGCCCCGGCCGCGTTGGTGCGGAGGCCGAGAGGCTGGGAAAGAAGAGGGAAGCGGCCCAGAACGCAGCTGGGAACCGAACGGCCGGGCGCGAGCCTGCCAGCGGTCACGTGGCACGTGGCAGGCGGACTTCTGGGAAATGTAGTCCTTCAGGCATTTCTCCACCCTCCTATCGCCTCCCGGGCAACCTCGAGGCCACGTGGCAAAATCCAGAACCTGATGAGCCCTCTCCTCCTCGCTACTGGAGTTCTTACTTACAATATACCACTTACTCCCTGGTTTAACTCCCTGCTGTTCGTGCCAACGGAGTGATCATCCCAAAGTCAAGCAATTCCTTACAGCACTCTAAATGAATTGGGAAACAGGAAAGTAAATTAACATTTTATCTATTTTTAAATTTTTTTATCTTCTTTTCAGACTGTTATAGTGAGGGCTAACTTCCAGGAAATAATTTTTTAATATTTTATTTCTTTATCTTTAGAGGGTACAGGAGAGAAATATCAATGTAGGGTTGCCTCTCCTGCTTCTCCCATTGGGAACTGGCCTGCAACCCAGTCATGTGCCCTGACTGGGAATCGAACCCAGATCCTTTGGTTTGCAGGCTGGAATTCAATCCACTGAGCTACATAAGCCAGGGCCAGGAAATAATTTTTGATGGAGACAGTTAACGATCTAAGACTGCAATATCGTCAAAAAGGACATGTCCTGCCCTGGCCAGCATTACTTGGTTGAGAGCATCAGCCAGTGAGCTTATAAATTCGCTGGTTTGATTCCTGGTCATGACGTGCCTGAGCTGCGGGTCAGGTTGGGGCATATAAGAGAGGCAACCGGTCGATCTTTCTCTCCCTTCGTCTCTCTTTAACAAATAAATGTGTTTAAAAGGACAAGTTCCCCAAGAAAGAGAATCCATACCCTGCAGCACCCGAAGTATGGAATTAAGCTAAATGAGCTGAAGTTATCAGGTTGATGTCCTTGAGCTTTATAACACTCCCCCCAGCCAGTTTCCTCACCTGAAGTATGTAGAAGATGGTGATGATGCTTCCACACAAGACTACTGACAATAACAGTAGTAATTAACTCAGATTATTTACTGTTTTCTATGTGCTATGCACTACGCACCTGTTTATTTCTCCAAATAATGCTATGAGTAGATATCATTGTTATTTCCCTTACACGGTCAATATGTTCCAGTGTACTCTGAAAAGCACAACACAGATCTTATGTACATTTTCAGCATATGTGCCAATTAAGTTGCCTGAGTTTGCAGAAGGGTTACAGGAAAATACATTAGAACACAAGATAACTAGGAGCCTAGCTAAAAAGAGGTGCGCCCTGCTATGTAGCCATTGTGAAGAACGCTGTGGATACATGCTCATGATATATTGAGCAGAAACAGTTATCTATAGTATTATCCAATTTTCATAAATGAGGTATATTTACAATACCTACATACATATGCCAACAGGGAAAAGGCTAAAAGAATATTAACAGTTGTTAACTTTGAGGAATGAGATCATGCATAATTAAAATTAATTTTTACCTATGTGGTCTCTAATTTTTCTGCAGTGAATATGAATTACATGTAGAATAGTTTAAAATTATAGCAAAAAGAGAGTCAGGCACCAAAACCAAACTCAAAGTACTTTATACTTTTGCCAGTGCCAAAATTACACAGTCTACCCCAAAACGACCCAGCAACAATTGTAAATATCTCTTCAGAACTGGCTTTATACACCAAGAAGCCCCTTATTCTACTTTTGGACAATCCAGTTAGTGAACTTTAACATCCCCCTCCCTTTTGTGTTTTTGGGATGTCTTCAAATAAAAAAATAGATACATTTTTTAAAAATTTTCACCAGTGTTCCTAGGCAAAGGTCATAAATCAAAGAATAAGGTTAGGAATGATTTTCACAACATATAAAGCATGCATCGGAGTAACAGTCCCTTGAAAACTATTAATCATACATCTAATGTGCAAAGTATTATCTCTAGTCAACAACTTTCAGTGCTGCCTGCACAAGTATAGTGATAACTTCGACTGACTTGACTACTTCAGTGTCTAGTTAGGCAGAAACACTAACAGGAAGGCCATGAAAACCCTCCCACCAAGTGCAACGACTTATCCTGAATCAGATTCTGGTACCAAAAAAGACAACAGTGGGAAAACTAATGAAATCCCATGAAGTTTGGAGTTTAGTTAAAGCTATTGCAGCCATGTTAATTTCCCAGTTTTGACTCATGTGCTATGGTTATATAAGATACTAACATTAAGGGAAACTGGGTGAAAGATATATAGGCTCTCTCTGTACCTTGCAGCTCTTCTGGGAATTCAAAATTACTCCATGTGGTCGTCAGAATAAAGGTCCCCCGAAGATGTGCACATCCTACTCCTCCAGACCTAGGAATACATTAGGTTACATGGCAAAGGGGAACTAAGATTTCAGGTGGCATTAAGGTCGATAATCAGATAACCTAAAAATAGAAAGATTATCCTGTATTGTCAGGGTGAATCCAATACAATCATAAAACTAAAAAGTTAGACAGGCTGAAGAAGAGTCATAAAAACAGCTCTGGAAGATCAAGTGGTACAGCGTGAGGGAGGACCAGGCATTACTGGACATAAAGGTGACAAGAGCCTGGGAATGCGGGTGGTGGCCTCTAAAATCTGGAAAGGTGAGGCAACAAATGGTCCCCTACAGCCTCCAGAAGGGAACATACGCTTGTCGATATCTGAATTTTAATTCAATGACACCATGTCAGACTTCTCACCTATAAAATAATACATTTGTGTTGTTTTAATATTTATTGATTGATTTTTAGAGAGCAAGAGGAAAGAAGAGAGAGAGAGACATCTGTTTTGTTCCACGTATTGATGCACTGGATTGGTTGATTCTTACATGTGCCCTGACTGGGGAACAAACCCACACCCTTGGCGTGTCAGGCTGATGCTCTAACCAACTGAGGTACGCAGCCAGGACATTGTGTTGTTTCGACTAAATTTGGGGTAATTTGTGTGGTGGCAACAGAAGATTAATACATTCAAAAATAAAAAGCTCATTTAAAAGGAAAACTTGCAAATGGCTGTCTTCTCAACATTTTTGCCACCTAGGAAACTGTACACGTTGATCATGCTACTTAGAAAATAACTGGAAATGAAAAATGCACCCAAAAAGTTGAGTTCACTTTGGAAGGCATACAGTTTTTATTTTTTGCAGCAGATTTATAACCCTCCCAGCTCATTTTGGTTAGAGATATGAAAATCAAGTACATCCAGAAATACGTTGAGTTACAACTCAATACGGAAAGCCAATCAAGCAGTGAAATGCCACCTGCGCCTTTGGAAATATTACAGTGTTTCAAACTGCAGTCCTGTGTGACCTTTCTTCATCCTCCTCACTGCTCAGTGGCTTTCCAGAGAGATATTTAAAATATTTCTTACTGAGGTCCTGACTGGTGGGGCTCTTGGTTGGAGGATCAGCCCAAAGCTGAAGGGTTGAGGGTTTGATTCCCAACAAGGGCATATACCTAGGTCGTGGATTTGATCTGGATACATATGGGAGGCAACCAATTGATGTTTCTCCCTCACATCAATGTTTCTCTTTCTCCCTTTCTCTCTCTCTAAAAGCAGTGAGAAAATGTCCTCAGGTAAGGATTTTAAAAAAAAAGTAAAATGCTTCTGATTGAGGATGTCCATCTGGCTCATTCCTGCCTTTGTTCAATATTTACTTAGCAATTCTGAGTGCACTGCCCTTCAAACCTGGGCCTAGTGGAGAAAACAGGCAATGTACAATACAATTAAAAACTGGCAACAACTGAACCTGAAAAAAGAACCAAAAACAAAAACAAACTAAGCAAACAACTAAAACAGGAATAGACTCACAGAAATGAAGATCACATGGAGGGTTATCAGGGGGGAGGGGATGGAGGGAGAATGGGGAAAAAGGTACAGGGAATAAGAAGCATAATTGGTAGGCACAAAATAGACAGGGGCAGGTTAATAATAGTATAGGACATGGAGAAGCCAAAGAACTTATATGTATGACCCATAGACATGAACTAAGGGTGGGGCAGGGGGAATGATGGGGGGTGGGTGCAGAGCAGAGGGGGATACAGGGGAAGAAAAAAAAGGGACAAGTGTAACAGTACAATCAATAAAATACACTTAAAAATATTGAGTTAACTTTCCATGAAGGACAAAAACAGCCAGCACAACCTGATGATATACAGTACCAAGGAAATAGCTTTCTGAAAAATAAACGGTGACCATCAACCAGACGAGCAGGACCAGAATATTCATCAACATCTTAATAACGAAACATATGTACATGAATATATTAATATATCGATGTCTATATATCTGTGATTTGACCTGATCCTCACAACCTTGTCACGAAAGTATTAGTCTCCATTTTACTCATAAGAAAATATAACATGGAACAGTTGGGGTTTTTTTGTTATCAAAGTTTGTACAACTAATCACTCAGACGTCCAAGAATTTGACTTCTAATATAAACAGCATATAAGAGCAAATTTCAAGGAGAACAGATTTTTTTACTGGTTGTTTTCTTGTGATCTGAATATGACATTGAGTTTACATGTTAACAGAGAGGTGGAGATGGAAAGACTGCAGCTTAGAGTGGAACTTTAAGACTCTTGGGCCAAAATGTGTCTCCTGGTGTCTGGAATTCGGGAAATCCCTGGTGAGAGGCCAAGCATTGTGGCCAGAGTCCTTTCCTCATTTTTTATCAGGTTGCTTGTTTTCTTGTTGAATTTGAACAGTTCGCAGTGTATTCTGGATATTAATTCCCTATCAGATACATCATTTAAAAATATTTTCTCCCATTCTGTGGATTGCCTTTTTACTCAGTTAATAGTGTATTTTGATACACAAGTTTTTAATTTTTATTAAGTCCAATTTGTCTATTTTTTCTTTTATTGCCTGTGCTTTGATGTCACATCCAAGATCCTTGTCAAATTCCATGTTGTAAAACTTTCCCCCTATATCTTTGAAGAGTTTTATAGTTGTAGCTCTTAAGGTCTTTGATCCCTTTGGAGTTGACTTTTTAAAAGATTGATTTGGGAGAAAGAGAGAGAGAGAGGAGGGAGGAACAT